GATATACGCCGAATTCATTCCGTCACGTGCCGAGACAGCCATCGGGAAAGGTCAGTCAGTGTTTGCAAGTGGTTCGTTACGTTTAGAGGGTCGGCTGAGTTGAAAACGTTGAGACCTTAATGTATATTGCAAGAAATTGTCACAAAAAGCACATTTTTTATACCAACTTTACACGACCCTACCAAAACGTAATAACCCAAGTCAATGATTTCATGAAATATATTTCTATATAGAAATTGAGAACTAAGTGATATTTGTTCATAATGAAGTATCCACTATCTCGTCTAATATATTCACTAATTTATTCAAATGTTTTACTGGCGTTTTTAGCGTCCATTTAACACCAAAGTTTCCACAGTAGTATTAATGAAACATGATAACTCACTATATAGGTCAAAATACTTTTATTTCCCTGTTAATTTAGGCTATATTCACAGCAAAAGTTTCGCCAAATAATATGTATATATGCTACTGTCAAGCATCGAAACTACTCTATTTTACTATTTTTGACGGATAGGTGTAATTCTAAAGGTAACCAATTAACGTCTAGAATCTATGTGATACAAGTATATAATTAAATGACGTCACTATTACTGGATAACTGATTATTTCAACTCGACCACGTTTTCAGCAATTAAAATAATTTAGTGAGATCTTCAGTTAATCTACATAGGGCAATCTTCATGTTTCAAGCAAAATCTGGCTCTAGTTGCTATTTGTTTGTTACAGGGCAGGAGTTTCCAAGCAGGAAGCGGAATAAAATATTTTCAAATACGTTGTTTGCAATGAAAGTAAGCACCTCCAGTGAATAGCTACAGATTCATTGAGTGAGGGGGCCTCAGTCAGGATATGAAAAATTCTGGGGGTTGTATCGAGAGAGTTTGGGAACTCCTCTTACGGGGTACATAAGTGGTGGTGTTTATTTACAACGTTTTGCCCGCAACGATACTTATATTAAAATTAAAATATAAAGATATGCATATATCAAATCTAAAATTATACGGAATATTTAGACGATTTATTTTTCACATCATGCAATGAACAAAAAAAGAATTTAGACTTTACCAATATATTTTAGAAAAAAATATAAATCTGTATAATTTAATGTAAAAGTATGGATTCATGTGTAGCAAAAGCAGAACAATTATATATGAGGAACAATACAAACGTGTAATGAAGTGTGTCATATTCTACTCAAAAGTATTTGTTTTTATATATCTTTGTGTGGCATACAAAATTCCGATTAAACAAATAATACTACACATATAAAGCAGTTACAATATTTCGTTTTTGACGGTCTTTTTGTTTGTTTTTCTCTTCAAAGAGAAGTAAAACTCAAAAGTTTCGTTTCAATAACTGAAACATGGTGTTGAAACTGATAGTAAATACACGTAAACATATTTTTTCCTTCATTCCAGTAAATGGGTGTAATACGAGATTTTCGTGGAGTATTATCTACCAAAACTTTCTAGTCAACAAGTTTCTAAACACACATGTAATTTTTCAAAATCTAAAAAAAAAAAAGATATCTAAAAACAGCTATTCACTTTAATAAATATGTAAATAAAAAATGAAGTAAAACCAATCTATGACAGTATGTTAAATCAATACCTCACGGTCCACGTTCGTGTTTAAACACGAACACATACATCTCAGGTAGACGATAGAACGTGAAGCCATTTATTTCAATCAAAGTCCACGTGTGGTAAATCTTTTCAGCTGTCACGTGCCATTGAAAGCGAAGAACGTGGACGTCAAAGGCTAACAAACCATCATACACGGTAAAAGTACAAAAAGGCGATGATAAAAGCTTAGCATATATAAGCGATGACGTCAGCATATTATGCTTAATGTAAGTACTGGAAACAAATTTGATATGCCTGAAAACCCATTAGTTTTAGTATTTCCTCATACTGGCTTTACAATTATAAACTTCAAGAAGTACCGTCTCCAAGAGCATGAGGTATAACCAGCCATTTAAAAAGATCTTTGGAATATATTCCACTTGGACTTTACATACAAACATCTAATGATTTAATAAAATTCATAAGTTAAGCCATGCTCACAAAGGATATTTATTACCAGCTATAAAAGAATCTAATTAGCTTTATGAGTTTGACGTATAAAGTCGTAAACAGCATATACTTTCAAATGTCAATAAGATGAGCCTAAGGAACGTTAAGTTCCAAGTAGTTTATGTGTTGTATAGACATCGACAAGCAAGAGAAGGTTTTATTATCGGAAACGCTTCTGTTTGGTATAACAAGGCAGTTCTTCTAAACGATAGTAAAGTTAATTCAACTAAAAAATAAATAACTGATGTCAGAAATAAAATGATTGATAATGTGTTACCTTACAATTCTGATTTCTAAATGACATAAACAAGAGATAATAAATATAATCCCCTTAATTAATCTAGTTGACACCATAACAGTCATTATTCATGAAAATTTATGATATATATAGCACCCATACCACTACTATGTCTGTCGGATTTCAGCTAGCCCAACGAGCTTTGATACGACCGAAGGGCCTCGTCAGCATTGGATATAGCAGATATAGTCCCTAATTTAGCAGTGTAAGACAAGAAGGAAGGCAGCTAGTCATCGCCACCCACCACCAACTCTTGGGCTACTCTTTTACCAACGAATAGTGGGATTGACCGTCACATTATAACGCCCCCACGTTTGAAAGGGCAAGTATGTTTGGTGGAACGGGGATTCGAACCCATGACTCGCAGATTGCGAGTCGAGCGCCTTTACCACGTGGCCATGCCAGACCGAGATAGTACAGGAGTCGAGAAGTATTCCAGTACAAAAACACTGTTTAAGCTCACCGAGTTAGCTCTCAACTTAAACACCTTCTCTTTTAACGAACTGAACGATAAACAAGTTGCAACGGAGAATAAGATGGGTCCTTCTTAGGCGAATGTATTTGTTGGTTAAGTTTAACACCATATTTTCACCACGTTTCATGGCCAAGTCCTAACCTTTAAAGTGACATATTGATGGCATAGTAGATAACGCTTACTGTAAGGAATCAGTTTCAAGACTTTAGTCACTGCGTCCCTAATTTTCTTCCTTGGAAGATTGTGGCGATCGGGTATCAATCACTGGTTTGTAGTCCTGATTTGTACCCCCGGTGTTGGACGTTTGTATTGTGGCTGCGATGTTTTCATGAATTTACATTTATTGTTTGTTTCTGAAGAAAAACACAAAGCTACACGAAGGATTATCTGTACTCTGCCCACCACATGTATCGAAACCCGGTTTCTAGCGTTTTAAGTCAGCAGGCATTCCGCTGTGCCACTGGGAAGCGAACTTACATTTAATTAAATTTCTTCTACGGTTTGGATATGCTGCGTAAGATTCGCACTACCCTTCTTTTTGACGTATTCCCAATTTTTATATTTTAGCTGTTGTAAATATGTATATATATATATATATATGTGTGTGTGTGATAATGCTTGGAGGCGGCTTGAATGGGTAATGAAAAAACTTTAATATAAGTTTAAGATGACAGCAAATGTACAACGTTTCGACGAAGTTTTGTCATCATCTGGCACCAGTAGTTTACACTGACACAGATATATATATATATATATATATATATATATACAGTATGGAACAAAGGGGTCACATGACCGGATACTATATTTTTTTTAGCTGCAATGGTGGAAAACATGGGACGGTTTTTTATTGTGTTCTGTGAATCTGGTTTCCAATTTTCTTCCTGTTTCTCCACAGAGAACCAAACATAAACAAAACCTTGTCGAAACGTTGTAGATTTGCTGTTATGTTAAACTTATACTAAAGTTTTTCTTCATTACCCATTCAAGCTGTCTCCAAGCATTATTAGTCTCAAAGTGGGTTCCTCGTCACCGAATATATCTGTGTGTGTGTGTGTGTGTTCATACGTACGTATATGAGTGTATATAAGTATATACTTGTGTGTATGTGTATACATTTATGTAGGTGTACATATTTGTACACTTACTACCCCAAGTTAATAATTAATTAATGGGGCTGCTTGGTGATGAATGGGATTGATTTGAAAACTCATAAACGTTTCGGATTTCCTTTTGCACACGTGCCAGGTTCGTTTTATTCAGTAATGTACACATGAGTTTTATGCAACCTCTGTGCGCGTGCACACATATACGTATTTTGGACTATTTCTCTATATTTTTCGTTACTTTGTCACGGTAAATGTATGCATTTTATTTTTCAGTTTTAACTTTAAGCTTTTCTTCTCTAACTGATGTTATTTTTATATTTTAGTTTTACACATACGAAGTCGCCCAAAAATATTTGATTTACTCAATACTGTTAATTTGTACTTTTAATCTATATCACAATCTTTAGATTGTTACCCATGTGATGTGTTTTTGATTTGTGTTTTCTCGTTCTAAATGTACTCATAGTTCTACCAATATGCACAGTCTACATCCTGATAAAATGTTTAGGTCCGGCCCCAAACGTCGTTTTTAACATTAAAATGATTATTCACTTCATTTTATGCTTCTGTCTTTCTAGTTTTTCATTTACTATCGTATTTCATCATGCAAGTACGTACAGACAGTACACCATTTTATCCCAGCAGCTAACCACTTGCTCTATACGCAGTGCTGGATTTAGAGGAGGTTCAACCCATGCAATTGCACGGGGGCCTCAAGCCCCAAAGAAGGGAGTCTCAATTTTGAATCACACTAGCAAAGGGGCTTCCAGCATCACAGTATTGCAAGTGGGCCTCAAATGGTATAAATCCGGCCCTGTCTCTATTTTGATCTCTTACAAATAATAACTAACCACAGAAAAAGTTTATATTGTTTTCCAGAGAAAATCTTCCATAAAATCACAGTAATCATATTTTTGGATGAAAATATGATTCCAGATATTCTGGAATGAACACACGGTTTCAGTATATATACTTCACGTGCTCATGTTTATATAAACACTCAAAACGTCTAACAATAAAATCAATCATATATACATACATACCTTCTGCTCCACTGATGCACAAAACTCGGTCTCTAACTCCTACGTTATAGTTTTCAAACCACATGAAGACTCCGTGAGGGTCATACTTCCCTCGAGGGTGGTACACTTTCGAATAACTGTGCTGCCATTCGAAATGTTTCTCATCATTGTGTTGAACAACCTTTCCGTAAACCTCGAAGTATTCATGCAAGAAAGTAAATGGGATAAATACTTCTCCATCCTCCTGTTTACACGATACGGTGTATTCCTCGTTAATAAGACAATCAATGTCATCGAGAGTCTTTAGTCCTCCTCGTGTACGAATCAAAGGAACTCCTTCCTGGACTAAAGGACTAGCATCGTTCTCTGAAAAGTTGTCATCTTCAGAATCCAAACTGTATAGGTTACCTTTCATTCCAGCTTTCGGATTGGACCGGTCCAGATGGTCAAATGGGGCAGATGTGACGTCGCCACATCGAATCCAATAAGTTAAAGTCGTAATGGTGCCGAGAACTATGAGAATGACCAGTAAAAATTTAAGGTTTATTCGCATTCTCATTGGGCTGATGAGGCTATTTGTAAAGAAAAAAAAGTTTTAAATTTAATACGTACATGTAAATTTATATTACAAACAACTAGAGTATCATAAAACCTATATATGTATATGACTGATAAAAGCTGCATCAATACAGAACATTGCGTACTCGAATGTCAGTTGTAAATTCAAATGGTTAACAATTAAAATTCATTACAGCAACTGAAAACCAATTTGTGCTAAAACATGTTTTTTTTTTCGCTAAGGATGAATAACCATAATAACACACACAGAGAAAAAATTAATTAACTGAGAGGTATAGAGAGGAAAATGTAATGAGAAGCTGCTATGGCACAAGGCAAAAAAAAATATATATTCTTTTTTTTTGTAAACTCGTTAGTAGGGGTCACCACCATGCGTAAAGTTTTTCTCACATTCATCACAGTCAGGATCAAATATCACCATTTTCTATGAAACTCTGCATAGAAAAATAAATAACAATCTATCATGATAAGTTTAACAGCTTAATCTAACTTAACGAGCTTATTTAAAGAAATGTGTCGATCTGCTATATCAGATCTTCATCCAAACATTTGATGAAGTTTTCTGAGTGTGCAAACTCAGCTGAGCTTTCAAAGTTAAAAACTATATTTCACCCGCTTGAAACTTCGCTTAAATAATAAGTTATATTTTCTATGTTAATTTGAACAGTTTATAAACCGTCAAGGAGTTGTATTGAGCGAGAGTAAACTGTTCATCATTTATCCCCACGAATTAATCAAGCTGCCAAAATGTTGAAAGCTCATAAAAAGGCCACTAATAATAAGATCTATGTATTAAAACAATTTCTAGTCTGTATAATAAAACATCAATGTAACTTATGGTCCGTTATATTAACTGGGCAAATGAACAGTATTGGATTCATATTAAATAAAAATCATTTGTTTGCGCTTACACAATGTGTTGTACGAAATATATATATATATAAATTACTAACCATTTTATAAATTATCGATTACTGGCTCAAATACAACACACCTATAAGAAAAAAATACAAGATCTATAGAAACGAGTCGCGGGATCGTAGCCCGTCGTTGAACATACTTGTCGGCCATGGAAGCATTTTAATGTTACAGCCACTTACATTAATCGTTGGTAAAATGTAGCCCAAGAGTTAACGATGGGTGTGGTAAGTAGCTGCCTTCCCTCTAGTCCAGTGGTTCTCAACCTGGGATTCGCGAAGGTAATATTGGGGGTTCAGGGGTTCTTGAGCTGTTTTAAATATGCATGGAAGGACACAGAAAAGCGGAGACTGTTCTATACCTGTCACAATTTTTCGGGCTCTCTAAGTATGTTGGGTAGACGGAACCTTTCAAAAACATGGGGTCCGTGGGGAAAAAATAATAATAAAGGGGTCTTTGGTGGTGAAAAGGTTAGGAATCAATGCTCTAGACTATCACTTATAAATTAGAGACGGCTAGCGCAGATAGTCCTCGAGTAGTTTTGCACGAAATTCAACAAAACACACAAACAATTGAAGAGGAAATAAAATGTTATAAGAGCACTGCTAACGGAACCGAAAAGCAGATGTTGCGTGGCCATACAAACTAGAGAAGTGTTTATAGTTGAGAAGAAAAAAAAAGATAACTTTGCGTTATTTTGCAATGTATAAAAGCAGATTCACAAAACACCAATAAAAACAATATAAAAAATTCCAGTGGTCTTTCTTTTGTATATACCTTTAAACCATACGGTTTAACAAGTATAAATAACACCAAACAGAGATGCAGTCGTGCACTCAACTTTTAAACGGAGCTTCGAAACTAACATGTAAAGACAAAACTAATATGTATATACGAAATATGAAGTAAAATACAATAGAAAAGACATACTTTGTTATGAATACATAGTAAACCAATGCAGTTTATACATCGAAAGTTGTAGCTTTGTCGTGAATTATGAGTTCTTAAAACTCTGCATATTTGTCATAATAACTATCGATTAGCCTCAAAAGTTCCAGAAACTTTAGCATCCCTACTGAAGTTTTAACTTACTTTAATGGTGGTTGAGCTTTAAAATGTTGAAAAATATGTATACTTATCGCCATCTCGAAAATAGGATAGATAGATAGATAACATGAAGAAGAATAGTGAACTATTCGAAAGCGCTCGAGTTTTTGGTCTCATTTGAAAACCAATACAGGAAAGCAGACAGAACCAGTTGATCAGTATTCATAAATATATACAAGGCTCAGTAATATAGAAAAAGAATGATATTGGAAAGCATAGTTTTACTTAGTTTTAATTTAGTGGAACATCATAATGTAACTCCCATCAACGTAAATGAATATCACGTACACCAATTAATACTTGTGTAAGTAATAGACACCATTCATTACAAAAAACATTTGAGCATACAGTAAATAGGATATTACAGCATATGGATATATATCCAAGTGCTTGTCAATTTCCTCCAAGAATCAGCTTTTGACATTTACTCTCTCACGTCTGTGTCTACTTCTTATTGAGTCATCTCACGAGATTAAAAGCTGCACTAGAGTATTTGATTTCTGAGCCATCAACTGTATAAAGCTGTCGCACTCGGTGAAACGCCTACAGTGCTACTCATCTCAATATCGATCCACCTACAACTAACCTACTAGGAAAACACCACGTTTTACTCTATATGTAGTTATCCAATGGAAGGTAATCTAACTAAATTTTTCGCTTTCTGTTGTCTTTGCTCCATTGCGTTCTTTACTGTTGTACTTTAATCATGAAAAGGAAAAGAAGCACTCGATTAACTATACAGAATGTCGTTAAGTCAAGGAATAAAAGTAAATGTGGTCCATGTTTCAGCAAAACAAGGTATACGTTATCAGACTGAGGTAAGCAGGCAAGACCTGATTGGTAGAGGACACCGACAGTATTGTTACGACAGCGGAAGTCACGTGACGCTGCTGGCGCGTTTGGTGCTGGTAGCGTACGTGAAATTTCTCAAATGATCATGAATTTGCCCGGCAACTCTAATCTGATCGAGCTGCCCTCTTTTTTTAATATATAAGCCTGCCGAGAAAACCAACGGGGCGGATAGGCAGATAAATAATTGAGTCGAGCGAACAGTATGCACCGTAAGTAAAGTGTGTGAATCACTGTGTTTTATAGCGTGTGTTATAATGGTTGTTAAGTTTAAAGTGACTGTGGAAATTCTGTGTATCAGAAAAAGTTGTATCGAGAAAGAGTAAACTGGTTTAATCAAGAAAGGACTTGTATCGCTGAAGTTCCTCGGAAATAATTTCTACCAGAAATTAACAAACGAGCGGATACGTAACAATATAGTGTACAGAAACACCTTTGATAGAAATAATTTGGTGGCCTAAAGAAAACATGAAATACGGAAAGAAAGGCGTTTAAGAATGAAAGAAGACGCAAATCGATCAAGAAAAACGACAATAAAGGTTATAATATTTAGAGTTTTTAAAATCCCATTAACTCACCTTAAAGTAAACTAAATTAACTTAGGTGTGTAAATACTATGGAATTGCGCCTAATTTATTAAGTAGTATTATACAGTGGATCAACTGTTTAACGATTTTATTACCGATATATTTTCGTCGAAGGTAAAACTGAAAATATAATCTGTGGTGTAGAGGCCTAATGCATTCTTTGCTCCCAGCACACAAAGGCTATCAGCAAACCAAAGAAATGCAATTAGAAATCATATAATGGTGATGTGGGTATAATATTTATATAACAATACAAGTTTTTCCGAACCGGTATCTCAGTCAGTGGTAATTCTGACTTTCATAATTAGCAACTATTAGATTAGAAGAATCACAGGTTATAAAACGTTGGTGAAAAAACAACAAATAGAACAAACTATTAGAAGACTTGATATTGAAGTTTTTTCCATTTACTATGATTTCTAAGTTTTTAAATGCTACAGATGATATTGTGTTATGTTATTAAAACACGGGTAATATCATCGTGACATCTGATATGATACGTACTTAAAAGCAATGACATCACATAGGGCCAGACAGCCTGTTTAAGCCTACTGGGACCAAAGAACAGTTCTGACGTTGTCATCTTTTGAAGTTGAAAATGATTTCGTTTGTTAAGCACAAAGCAACATAATAGACTATCTGTGTTCTGCCAATCCAGAATATCGAAACCCGAATTTTAACGTGAACTTCTTAAAATGCTTTTACATTCAGGATCGTCTCATACAGAGTGGTATACTTATTTCTGTGTATCGGGAATTTGTAAAGAAACGTGGTCATAAGTCAAAATAAGTTGTAGGCTTAGACATACATATTTTCTATATTCTTGGGTTTATTAGCTCTCATCTGATGTGCCTTTCTTGATAAAGCAGTCAAGATATGTTATCTACTTTTGTGTAAAACTGGGTAATTCATCAACACGATTATGATCGTCACCGCCATTACTACATAGTTTTCATAAACGTGTTCTGTACGTTAAGAACAGTTTTCACTCTGAATGTTCAGAATGATACAAAAGACTGAGGGAGAGAGTGGAATTGTAGTGTAAGTAGAATTAAGTGATGGTGACATCAACTGAAATAAAAGTTTATGTCAAGGAAGTGAAAAGAACTGCAGAAATAGCAGTTTTTTTGTGGTTTTTGTTTTGGTGAGCGTGTGTCTGTCTGTTTGAAAATGAAAAAATATTAACTTCGGCGGCTCACAGTAGTATTAAAAAACTTTAAGCACGACTTTTAAGTCAAGGTCACACCATAAATGACATCATCCATATTATGTTTGCGAGAGGAAAAAGCCCATAAACTAAGGCATCATCAGGATATACTAGTCTAATTTCATAGCGATGTTATAGTGGCACAAGGATAAAGGTCAAGCTTCCAAAAAAGATTCATCATCAAAGTCTTAGGACAGAGACTGATATACATCTTAAAAACTGAAGGTCAGTGTCATGATCAGGAAGCAAGTGGGCGCGAAAGGATTTGTAATGATTAAGCATAATGTGTATTTTCTATTGCCATAATTTTAGACTTATTTTCTTCCATTCACAGTTCCACAACATCGCTAAACTTTTATATTGAAGATTGAAATATCCTATCTTCTGAATAATGACTAATATAAATAATATGGTCTCATATATTTCAGTGAAATTATTACAATGTACAACGGGCTGGCATGGTCAGGTGGTTAATGCGCTCGACTCGCAATCTGAGGGTCACGGGTTCAAATCCCCGTCCCACCAAACATGCTCACCCTTTCAGCCGTGGGGGCGTTATAATGTGACGGTTAATCCCACTTTTCGTTGGTAAAAGAGTAGCCCGAGAGTTGGCGGTGGGTGGTGATGATTAGCTGCCTTCCCTCTAGTCTTACACTGCTAAATTAGGGACGGCTATCGCAGATAGCCCTCGTGTAGCTTTGCGCGAAATTCAAAACAAACAATGTACAGACCTAGCAATGGGTGTGCCCTTGACTACAGAAAACAGTAGTGGTGGCCAATGACGTTCTTCCTTCAAATACACATGGTTACGACTTTTCGATTTTTATTGCTCAAGACATCAATTCTCAGTTCCAGTTTTCAACGAAAGCAGCCAGATAGTCTGGTGGAGGTTCAAGACGGACTAAATTAAATGTATACATCAAAGATTATTCAGTCACACATTTATTTTGTAGTCGAATAGTTTGTTGTCTAAAAAATAAAAAACTATAAAATCCTGATAATTCTGAAATAATCAATGCTAAGCCCACGTTTTTCTTTTCTTTTTTCGTACGTATTACTACAAACGTTCCTTTACTCTGTTTCGAAAGATACCGAGTACAAACTTAAAGCCACTGTTTGAACAGAATAACTGGTTTAAACCAATTGAAGCTTTGTACTAACAGCTACAGTTTGTGTTTTAGTGGCACTCTCATGAAGAAGCTGTAAATAAAGCGAAACGTTAAGTGTCCAATTAAATAAACATAATAAATTTGGTGTTACAAGATCCTTTATTAAAATTGTTATATTCACGATACAAGAGGATGTTAGAAAACGTTTCTTTCTTAAGTCTTTCAAATTATAAAAAAACACATATATATGTCCAAGGGACGAACATGCATGTACCTGTTGATGAAAAATAATAAAATAGAATGATGTTACATTTATTTTTATTTTTCTCAGCTTGATTTAAACAGCATAAAAATGATGACATTCGAAATGGGGTGTTAACATCAACATCACAAAAATAGATTGATGAAAACCTCCATGTAGATCAACTAATATCTTACAAAAGGGAAATCAACTGCAGGATAAACTGTAAACCTATAACCCTAATTCTAACACCTAATTCTAACATGTTAAGATTATCCCAGTTCAGGTGAGAAGCTGGTTTTCATTAGATATATAAATATGTAGAGTTACGTATAGTGATATATATATATATACACATAATGAACGCTCTACGTATTCACTTAGAATTTTCTATTTATTGCGATAAACTTACCATACTTTACTAAATAAAATACGAAACACGCCCATGTATAGCTGAGAATCATAAAAACAATACACTTAATACTATTAACCTGGTATATCTAATTAGTTTATTGGAAATACTTTTTAAAGCAACCATAGTTACGTCCCATGATACCCCGAAGAACAATCTAACTACACAGAACAGGATTAAACAGGAGAAGTTTACTAATCTGTAAATATGAACAGATTTTACACTCGAGTATTAAAAACAGCCGTGCGAGAAGTCTGCACGAGCGTCTCTATTGACGCCTGAAATGTACGCTAAGATGACAGCGGATATGAAATATAACATAAACCGGCGGCATACGTGAAGAAAACGTTCCCAACACAGCACCTATAAGAAACTGTTCGCACTGGCTTTAACTGTTACATTAACATATGTATGCATGCACGCAAGGTTTTTATGATTCTGCACTGCAGCGTAATTAATATTAAACTATTCTTGAAATACAACTTCCTTATCTTTAAAAACTGACGGAAATTACAACATTTAATGTCACTCACGTATATTTCTCTCTCTACTTACACTCAATCTAGCCTTCATCACGCTAAATCTACATGAACGTTAAATGATCATACACTCGTACAGCATTCTTAGGGTTACTGAAGTTCGCAAACGTAAGATAACACCGCTGATAAAAGTATATCAGAAGGATTTAATGCAAGCGGTGCACGGAATAAAATAATGAATAAGCTCGTCAGTGTTGTTGGTCTGTGCTTCAGTGGAGAAATTACGTCAAAAACGAAAACAATAACAATTCACCGAAAAGAAATTCTGAATATAGTTACTCTTTTTTTTCCTTAGTCAATGGTGACAGGTACCCAAACACTACACATATGATTACTATTCACCAGATATAAAAACTTGGACGAAGACAAGAATGGCTACAATTACAACAGACTCCAGGTTAATCAACATCACGGAACATTTGATTATTTTGGAGGAACTAGAGTGCTTTCTACTCAGCCTAGCATAGAATTAAGAATGACTTAGATTGACACTACCTAAACTAAGACCTTAAGACATACTGAACCGAAAAATAGAACTAAAAGTTTAACAGCAACGATTAAACAGAAACATTTTTACGTACAATTAAAATACAAGTAATCAGATACAGCACTGGAATTCAAATTACAATATATCAAAACTTACTAATACTGGAGTTCTACAATCAAAACACTATAATTAAAAAAAAACTTAACATAGTACAAATAAAAAATACTGAAGTTCTACAGTCAAAACAATATAATTACAAAAAAAATTAACATAGTACAAATATAAAATAATGAATTTCTACAGTCAAAACATTATATTTTAAAAAAACGCTTAACATAATACAAATAAAAAATAACGAAGCTCTACAATCAAAACACTATAATTACAAAAAATCCTTAACATAATACAAATAAAAAATAATGAAGTTCTACAGTCAAAACACTATAATTACAAAAAAACCCTTAACATAATACAAATAAGAAATACTGAAGTTTTACAGTCAAAACACTATAATTACAAAAAACCCTTAACATAATACAAATAAAAAATATTGAAAATAAAAAAGTCACCTCAGCTCAGAATGTAAAAAGCAGAATACAATAATATATCAACATAATAATTGAAGCATAACAGTACAGATGCTTATAACTAATAAGATAAAACATAAGAAACACAAAAATAAACAAGTGTATCCTCAAAAATAAATACAGACATTAAATTTAAACATCAATCATATTACAGGACATAAGTATGCATCTTTACATATCAAGATATAATAAAAAGTCAACTAAAATGGTTATAAATCAATCAAAAAGTTGTGTGTAATAAAAGGACACAATTAGTTCAAATGAATCTCAAATGAGATGTTCATTTGGTCTTATATAGTTCTTTCCACCTTTAACAAGACCTTCTTATGTAACTTTCAATTCATTCTGCATTATCCTGTCAGATAATCATGGCGGGACCTCTTGACTATCTGGCCTAACATTACTGTTTGAAGGTCTCCACCCCTAAAGTTAGTATCTTAAATTGGAGTAGTTTTAGCAATTCATTGAGGCCCAGAGAGCAGTTCATAAAGGTGCTGGCAACAACCATGGTTAGAACAGATATCACATGTCTTATTCCAGCTACCCATTTTTCACTTTACAGAGATAGTTGTTCTTCACTCCACATGGCTGGAGAGAAAATTTCTTCTTTGAATAACAGGTCCTTCAGCCACAGAAGAAACCACACATCTGTCTTGTGTTATTTTCAGATCTTGCATACCTGCGTGGAGCATTTTACCACTTGTTGGTGTTGTGTAGTGTATTCCTTAAGGCATTGTCTGTTGTGTTAGAAGTTATAAACTTTGATTCTAGAGAAACTATGGAAATGTTGATTTCTCTCCTGCCCATAAAGGCACAACAATGATCCTAGTTACTCTCCTTCTTACTTTCCTCAACAGAGATGCAAAAATAATGTCCACTAGGTAATCACAAGGATTAAACACAATGCAGGTTGTTCAACATTACTAGTTAACTTGTAACTACAGATTTCTTCAGCCCATTACTTACTGATAAATATCAATAAAAGAGAGTTACAGAGAGTAATTACACTATCATACAGTCCTCACAGTCATTAGTCAATGATCAAGAAAGAGAACAAACCATACAGTACCAATAAAACTCCAAGTTTAACCAAGCCATTTGTGTCTCATCATCATAATAGGACTTAAACAATACATTTATAGATAACCAACTGACTTTAACTTTCAGATAACAAGCACTCATCCATTTTATTGCTGTGCAGCAGATGAAAACAGTAAGCAGGCCCAGCCTCCACAACTGAACCAGCACTTACTAACCATATTATGGTAGCCCTTCTTTTATTACCACAGAGCTTTTCCAATTCCTAGTAGGGAACTTCATGCTCACTGGCCACATATATTGAAGTAGAAACTGGTAACTTCTACAATAGGTGGAGAATCATGCATGATATCTACTACAATAAATGCTAGTGTCAGAATACCCTGTAATCTGGTTAACTGTGGTAATATCATTTGACAGACTGCTCACCTTATCAAGTACTGAAAGCCAGTTGCATTGTTCCCTAGCAAGTATCCTACAGAGATGTCTCTTTCAGATGTTATGAATCAATCATCAAACTGCTCTCTGGTAGCCCAATAAGTCATAATCAGTTACAGAAGATAGTCATCCCTGTTGATCTGACAAAATTTGCAAGTATATTTGATCATATGTACAGTCCTCTAAATAAGACCATTTGATTGAGGAAGAAATTTTGAAGTCCAAGATTTCACCACTACTAATGCCTGGTATAGCTCTGTGAACAGTTGGTTGTTAATTTTTGCTCCCTGGGCACTTCAAAGTATGTGGCTCAATGCTTCAAAAATATGTTCACTAGCTTCTGAGCCATAATATGAGGTATGGGATAAGCACTGGCACACATAATAAAATAATTAATTGCAACAAGTGCATAAAAGTTCCCACAGTCTATCTTTGGCAATGGTCCACTGCAGAGACCAATTGAAAATGAAGGCATTTCATTTCTATAACTTGTCCTGGTTAAAAAGGTTTTTTCTACTATGTTGCATACATTTATAATGTCAATGCCACTGCTTTAGATTACACTGTGGCTTTGGCCAACAGAAGTGGGAATGTACACTGGCAATGGTGTGAAAGATTCTCTACTGTCACATAACAGTTATGAATTTCTGTCAAGTTTTGTAGGCAGATGATGATCTTGACTATTTGGACCCGAATATAGCCACAAACCTTTCATTACGATTGTACTTGCTTCAGTTGATTTCTTCTTCAATTGTTTGTTTTGTGGAATTTTGTGCAAGACTACTTGAGGGCTATTTGTACTAGCTGTTCCTAATTTAACAGTGATAGACTAGAGGGACAGTAGCTAGTCAACATCACCCTCTGCCATCTCTTGGGCTACTCTTTACCAATGAATAGTGGAATTTACTGTCACATTATAATGCCCCCACAGCTGAAAGGGCAAGCATGTTCGTTATCATCTAGTGAAGTAAAGAGCCACAAAGCAAGATAAATTTCAAAGGTTACTGCAAAAGATCATCAGAAAACTTAACTACCGGTACAAAGATCCAT